GGTTCGAGTCCTGGTGGTGACAGTCAATTTTTTCTTCAGACTTTTCCCGTTTGTCTCTTTCCCTCAAACCAGTTAATATTTTATGACTTGGGGCTCCCCGCGTGCTAGTTTGTACGTGAAGTGTGTGGGTTACAGTGAGGGCTGCGTCCCACCCGCCTGTGTGGATTCACAGGAAGTGTGAGTTACGAAGTCTGAAGAAAACGTTGAACGGTCTCTGCTTGGATGACGACTACACCATAGCTCAGTGGTTAGAGCATCGCTGGCTGCAAGCGAGGGTCCCTGGTTCGAGTCCTGGTGGTGACAGTCAATTTTTTCTTCAGACTTTTCCCGTTTGTCTCTTTCCCTCAAACCAGTTAATATTTTATGACTTGGGGCTCCCCGCGTGCTAGTTTGTACGTGAAGTGTGTGGGTTACAGTGAGGGCTGCGTCCCACCCGCCTGTGTTGATTCACAGGAAGTGTGAGTTACGAAGTCTGAAGAAAACGTTGAACGGTCTCTGCTTGGATGACGACTACACCATAGCTCAGTGGTTAGAGCATCGCTGGCTGCAAGCGAGGGTCCCTGGTTCGAGTCCTGGTGGTGACAGTCAATTTTTTCTTCAGACTTTTCCCGGTTGTCTCTTTCCCTCAAACCAGTTAATATTTTATGACTTGGGGCTCCCCGCGTGCTAGTTTGTACGTGAAGTGTGTGGGTTACAGTGAGGGCTGCGTCCCACCCGCCTGTGTGGATTCACAGGAAGTGTGAGTTACGAAGTCTGAAGAAAACGTTGAACGGTCTCTGCTTGGATGACGACTACACCATAGCTCAGTGGTTAGAGCATCGCTGGCTACAAGCGAGGGTCCCTGGTTCGAGTCCTGGTGGTGACAGTCAATTTTTTCTTCAGACTTTTCCCGTTTGTCTCTTTCCCTCAAACCAGTTAATATTTTATGACTTGGGGCTAGACGTCGGCGGATAATGCTCAAAAATCCCACGGATTATGCTTTTCAGTATGCTGGCAATATGCTCTGAAAATCACTAAATTATGCTCAAATTATGCTTCTTGACACTGTGATCTTTCATGTTTATAATGCCATTAAAATGTATAGAATGTGTACTCGGGATCAAATGTGGACTTCCGGAGAATACTGCATGGAAGATCTAGTCTCAGCTATGGATAAGAAACCAGGATACAGCTACTTCTATATAAAGGTTTTGTCCGACACGCCCTGGAACATGCCACCTCGGCCTGGTCCTATGCCATCACCAAAGCTGAGCTGGCGCGTTTAAATATTTTACAAGCCAGAGTAGCTAGGAAGTATTTGCTACGTAAAAAAGTCAATGTAGATAGATGCGAAACGAAATCCCAGTTAAATGCCCTTTGTGACTTAGAGTCCTTGCACTTTCGCAGACAAGATCAGCTCTTGTTACTCTATTTAAATTTATACATATATCTCCAGAACACATCCGACATGTTCACCTTTCATTGTCTTCAAGTCCAAGAAGACCAAACAAACTTCACATCAATTATCACGGTAGGCGTTTTTCTTCCCTCTTTTCCAACAAAGCTGCAATGCTATGGAATTGCCTACCGCCTTCTCTTACCTCTATAACCAGCCTCCTGGGATTCAAGCATTCTCTCTATCAGCATTTTCGCCGATATATTCATTACACTGACGGTATCCCAACTCCTTAATCACCAGATTTTGTATGCTTCGATCTATTTCCTTAGCCTATCCTCAATTAACTGCTCCCTCTACATAAAAATGTCATTTCATTCTTCTTGCAGGAGATCCCCTCGACAGGCTCAAAGCCTTTGGGAAATCCTTAAAGTTAAATATAGAAAAATACAAATACATGTAGCCACTGCAACATCAATACAAGCATAATTATGTATAGAAATAATAGAACTCTGGAAGGTGAACTTTTGACCTTTGACGCCCTAAACATTAGACATCTGTTACATTTACAGTGTAGATCAGGCCCTTTCACGGAGCCGTGCCAGATATATACCGTGGTATGGTACGACTCCCTGCCGAGTCCCGGGTGTAGATCTATTTATAGGAGGATTCCCTTGCCCTTGTAACAAACAACGGACTCTGGACGGTGAACTTTTGACCTTTGAGGCCCTAGCGGTTTTATGCAGCAGTTATGCTGAAGGATCAACTAAATTATGCTTGGCAATGCTATTTTTCAGAAAGCCGTGATTATGCTCAAAATTATGCCGGCATTATCCGCCGATGACTACTTGGGGCTCCCCGCGTGCTAGTTTGTACGTGAAGTGTGTGGGTTACAGTGAGGGCTGCGTCCCACCCGCCTGTGTGGATTCACAGGAAGTGTGAGTTACGAAGTCTGAAGAAAACGTTGAACGGTCTCTGCTTGGATGACGACTACACCATAGCTCAGTGGTTAGAGCATCGCTGGCTACAAGCGAGGGTCCCTGGTTCGAGTCCTGGTGGTGACAGTCAATTTTTTCTTCAGACTTTTCCCGTTTGTCTCTTTCCCTCAAACCAGTTAATATTTTATGACTTGGGGCTCCCCGCGTGCTAGTTTGTACGTGAAGTGTGTGGGTTACAGTGAGGGCTGCGTCCCACCCGCCTGTGTGGATTCACAGGAAGTGTGAGTTACGAAGTCTGAAGAAAACGTTGAACGGTCTCTGCTTGGATGACGACTACACCATAGCTCAGTGGTTAGAGCATCGCTGGCTACAAGCGAGGGTCCCTGGTTCGAGTCCTGGTGGTGACAGTCAATTTTTTCTTCAGACTTTTCCCGTTTGTCTCTTTCCCTCAAACCAGTTAATAAATAATAATAATAATATTAATAATAATAGTATTTGATAACCGCAATCAGTAATACAAGCTGGATCGACATTTGTGTACACTTTATTCATATAATGTAAAACTTTGGAGACAATGTGCAATAAAACGATGAAAATGTGAAGAAATGGTGTAGAGAAAATGAGGATTCAAACAAGTTTTCGTACAACACTCATCAGGAATCTTCGTTGTACTAAAGGACAATGAAAACAAAATTGAACTATTATAGAAAATATTAGTTAGAGAAATAACACTAAGAACAACAGCAGTGAAATTTACAAGTGTGAATTTTATCAATGAAGGCGAGAACAATAACGAATGTGTGTACTAACACTAAATTTGCAACTGAAAAATGAACAAAGAAGAGAAAGGTACAGAGTGATAACAAACAACAGCAGTACATTACAGACCCACCCTGCATATCAGCAGCTCCCACACCATCACCAACAATGCAATATACAGCAACCACAACTAATCTACCATCCAAGCCCACTATTGAAAGACCAAGACGATCAACAGCCAACTACAACAGAAGCTACGCACTCAATGGACAAGGGCGCAAGGAGGGACGTGACAGCAGGGTGACGGCCGAGTCCCGTTCAATGGACCAAGTCAGGCGGGATAACAGAGAGAGCGGAGAGGAAGCGGATGATGGGACGTACGGCGAAGGGAGCAATGAGTCGGAGAGCGACGATTGTAGTGATCGTGAGAGTGCCGGTGAGAGTGTTAGTGGTGTGCGTAGGTTTCGTGGTAGCAAGTCTTCAGTGTACAATCATCTGTTGGCCAGTCCTGATTGTTGCAATTCGTATTCCGACTCTTCTTTCACTGTATTGTGCCGTGGTCGTCATTGTTATGGACTACAGTTAAAAGTGTTGGAAGCTATCTATCAGCGTCTGTACAAGCCTAATTTGTGTGTACAGAAGGATAGTATAATTGGGTTGAAACTGTTCAAGTGAAGTGTAATGTTTTGTGCGGCCAAGCTTGGCCGTTAATTTTCTAGGTGTAATGTACTGCTGTTTCCGAGAGCAGCCCCACCAGCAGACACCACATCGGAAGGGGAAACGACAGTACACGTCACTTGTCAAGGTACCGTACTTAAATGACCAGCTTGCAAGGAGGGTTCGTCAAGTGGTCAGGTCGTTTGATAGAGATGTGCGTGTGGTCTTTACGTCCGGTCGCTCAGTAAAGAATATGATGGTCTCGTCGTCATTCAGCAAGCCACAATGCCCCAGGACGGTACAGCGGCAGAGGGAGAAGAGGGGGCGGGGTCGGCCGGCGGAATGTCGTGCATGCGATGGTGGTCTGAAGCGTAATGTTTGTATGTCCCAAGATGTGGTGTACTCTATGAAATGTACCATCTGTCAAGAAGAATACGTCGGGGAAACAGAAAGGACAACACGCAAGAGGACTGAGGAGCACTACAGACAAGCCAAGAACGCGACATTGGAAAAGCCATGGCGAGACCATTATCGACAAAAGCAGCACACCTTCCCATCGTCACCGCAGTTCTCGCCAGCAAGCAACGGTCATAACTTGACCGCAGAATCATGGAGGCACTGTTCATGAGGAAGAGGAAGCCGGCAGTGAACAGTGACAATGGTTGGCGACTGTTGGGTAATGTGTAAATATATCTGTCATAATTTGTGCAAGAATTTTTGCACTGTGTGTGTGTGTGTGTGTGTGTGTGTGTGTGTGTGTGTGTGTGTGTGGGTGTAGGTATGTGTGTGAGTGTTGCTAGAAGTGTGTATTTTTCTGCTTTGTACTCACACTAGTAATCCTGCACTATCACTGCACTATATTTTCACTTCATACATATCACAAAGAATAATAATCTCGCTTCCTGTGGTATTGCAACATTTTACGCTATACCATCACACCTTTGGCCACTAGTACTTGTCACATACATATAAACCCCTGTTTTGTCTACAGTAGACCTATTCCTGATGATGGGCCTTGCCCGAAAATTTGATCTAATGTATATCAATTGCAGTGTAGCCTAGAGACCGTTAGAGAGAGTGTGTACAAGGTGTGTGTACAGGATGTATGGATTCATGTATAGAGTGGTGTTCTAACAGTAGATACATACTTTGGCATGTATAGAGTGGTGTTCTAACAGTAGGTACTTACTTTGGCATATTTAGAGTGGTGTTCTAACAGTAGATACTTACTTTGGCATGTATAGAGTGGTGTTCTAACAGTAGGTACTTACTGTGGCATGTATAGTTCCATAAAGCACCGATACATCTATAGCCAGTGTTGCAAGTAAACTCTCCTTTTGGGGCATTGTCACAGCTTTGGGAACAAACTGTTGAATTGAGACCTGCAAGAACGAAAACAAGCTAAATCGTTGGGTAATGAACTGCAAGTATTGGAAGTGGGCCCAACAGAGATATGGCTAGCATAGACGGCTGCTGCGGCAGCCGCTGCGGCCCATCATCAACATGCATCATCCTCCACACTTCTCAAATAACGCCATGAATAGGAGATGCAAGACATGCATCACAATAAACTACCCGCTTATGACACTGCTTAGTCATGATCTCCGCTTGCTCGCCAACAGCTACACTAAGCTCATCATCAATATTATACCCAACAGGTGACGATTCCGAATGCAGAGCATTTATCGGTCAGCTTTGAGTATTTATACAATGTATAAAAACCAGCATTTGCCAAATGGAAGGAAGAAATAGGGACGGGCTGGAATGAGATACTTATACGCATGCAACTGCAGAATAGGCGAAACAGAAATTATCAAAACAGTCCTAACAAAAAAGAACGGTCAACAATTTACTTCAACAAATAAAACTTGAAAAACTGCTGAGTACTGCACTGTAATACTAAAGAGTTTTTGGATTCTAAATTTCGGAATTATTTCTGGAATGTGGTGGCAGGAGTCGAACAAGTAGTCGAACTTCCGGAAGTGTTTTGGCGAAAGGCCATGGTTCTCCAAAATACATTCTCGGCTCTTTCCTGGTTGGGAGCGCATATTTGAACATGTGTGTGTTTTTGTTTTCTGCTGCTCTCGCTGATCATATCTGAAAATTTCCCAAGTGTGTAGTTTTGGTTTTTGCTGGTTTTCGTTGCTCCCGCTGATCTCCCCATGTTGACTACACCTTCTCACACTCCATATTCCTCTGCCATGGAGCCTACTGACAGTACAAGACAGTAGTTCGCCAACCTTGCCTTCAGCTGTTTGATCACTCAGTCCACTGTCAGTTCGTCCTCGTCTTCGAACCGCACCCAAATTCGGTCTGACCTGCACATGGATTTGATCCTGCTCAGGAAACTCCTATTTTGTGCTCAACCCCTTTCTTCGCGGCTCTGTGGGATTCTAGGAGACTGCAAAAGTTCTAGCCTCCGAGCAAATTATGCAAATTGTATTTGAAGTACTATTCTACTAATGAACCTCAGCCGAGAACTACGAAGTCGAAAGCTACACAACAAGTGTTGCCATATACACATCAATTACTAATACTCAATCTACTAATAAATCAATTACTAATAATTATTATAACCTAGCTAACTGCCAACTATGCAAAGCTGGCATCACAGACATTAAAACAACTCATTGTTTTAGCACGAGAATCAAATTGTCAGCTGCGCACTCGCAGCCACACGTTTCCCACCTTCCAACCCGGCAAATATTGAGATTTTGATAAAAACGATTCAAAGCTTTTCAATTATTTTGTAATACTTGAAGTATAAATAACTCGGACGGTGAGCCAATTAAATAATTGTGAAAAGAAGAAGGACAAAATGTTACGAGTTATGACTAACTGTCCACCAACGTAACCAGATTTTATACAGTCAGCGAGTGCAACAAAATGGCACAAAACTGACAAGGAGTACTGAGACCTTCGGCGACCTGACACCTAGCTCCAACACTTCTCCAAGGCGCAAACCAACAACCTTCCAACTTGGAAGGCTCAGGTTCGGAAAGGTCCAAGAGGGACTCAATGCCATTTTGTTGCACTCGCTGACTGTATAAGATCTGGTTACGTCGGTGGACAGTTAGTCATAACTTGTCACACTTTGTCTTTCTTCTTTTCACAATTATATTAATATAAGTTAAAGAATTTGAACTCAGATGGTGAGCCAATTTAGTTATGATGAAGAAAGGAAAAGGACAAAATGTTACGAGTTATGACAAACTGTCCACCAACGTAACCAGATTTTATACAGTCAGCCAGTGCGACAAAATGGCACAAAACTGACAAGGAGTACTGAGACATTCTGCGACCTGACACCTAGCTCAAGCACTTCTCCGAGGTGCAAACCAACAAACTTCCAACTTGGAAGGCTCAGGTTCGGTCCAAGAGGGGAAGGAAAGCGCAAGGAAGAAGAGCACGAGTTACGCATCCTGGCAACAAAGAATGCCGAAAGTTACTGAATGATGACGAAACTAGTAGGACTATTGGACAGACCAGCCTTACTACAACTCGACGACGCAAAGCAACAGACCACCCAACTTGGGAGGCTCAAGTTTATTTAATAAACATAGAAGGGGAAGCTAAGCAAAGACGAATTGCGACAAACCGAAACGCCAACATCCTACTGAACTCCAGTATCATGTATGATGGACTAGTTATGTACAATAACAAGTAGTTCCACACGACGTACGTTTCGCCGTATAGGTCATGACGGCTCATCAGGTGTGTAAAGTTGAACTGAGATGGTGAGCCAATTTAGTTATGATGAATAAAGTCAGTGTTGAGCCATTTTGTCGCACTCGCTGCCTGTATAAGATCTGGTTACGTTGGTGGACAGTTGTCATAACTCGTAACATTTTTCCTTTCCCTTTCTTCATCAACAATAATAAATGCCGGCTTTGAGTATGAAAGCCAAGTTAGCCCACGCGGGCACATGCGCAGTGATGGTCTCATGATGCATACCATTAATTATTATTCTGTGCCGAGTATGATCTGTAATTTGCATTTTTGCACTGCTGCTACTGTTGCCTTCATGCGCGCTGCAGTAGCTAGTTGAATGCAGTTTGGTTTGTCTTTCCTTTGGACAAGAAGTGTTTTTCGTGTCAGGCTGGTAATTTCTCTCACTTTCTGTTCAGTGGTCCGTCCGTGTTCGGATTATCTTGTTACAATGCCTCCACGGCTAGACCGGTTGGCTTTCTCTGCTGCACAGACCGCCGAGCTCCAGGCTCTTATCACGTCGTCCCTTTCCGCGGTGCTGCCTCAACTAGCTGTTGACCCAGTTGGCGTTGCGGACCCGGCTCCCGTCTCTGCTACTCCGCCCGTTCTGGCAGAGCCAGAGCCAGCTGTCTCCTTGTTGGATTCATCGGCAGTAGGCGTTCAGGAGGAGCCCGTTCCCGCCTTACCTGCTAGTTTCGCTCCCGCGGTTCGCCGGCCTCCAGTTTCTCAATCTGCCCCTGGCGTGTCGGGCGCAACAGCGTCGTTGTCTCCACCAGCACCAGCCGCGAGCTCCGTCACCTCGTCTGATCTCACCGCGCCTGGGGCTTCGACTTCGGCTCGTCCTCACCTGCCAAAGTCTGGTAAGCCCTCTCGTTCTGTCGATGTTTATAGCCATGCGGCATTGGCTCAGATCGCGAAAGTGTTGCGTGGGGACTTTATAGATTTGAGCTGTTTGTTGCCCCTGGTCATTGCGTCGACCCCCACTGCTGAGCCTCATCCTAAACGGATTCGCGTGTCCGAAGAGGACGGCGATTTAGTTATGACGGCGTCCTCATCGTCACGGCTCAGGATCGCCTCGCTCCAGTCCTGGCTGGAGGCTTGGACGATTTATTGTTGTATCGTTGCCGATCAGCAACCGTCGAAGTCCTCCGAGCTGCTGGGTTACCAGCTCATTATTCTCCAGTCGGCTAAGAAATTCCAGTGGGCTACGGTGGCCGATTACGACACCCAGTTCCGCCAGAGAGCCTCTCGGTGTTCGGAGGTCCTCTGGAACAAGACCGACATGGACTTGTATGCTCGTTGTTTTACAGGCCAGTCCCTACCTATTTTCTCTGCTTGCCACAGGCCCGGTCACCTCGCTGCCTCCTGCTTGTCTAGCCCACGTGGCCGGCAGCCACAGTCGGCTGCTAGGGCTTGTGATGCGTTCAACCGTGGACGGTGTAATTTTCGCTCCTGGCGATTTCGTCATGTGTGCTCCTCTTGTGGCGCGGGAGACCATCCATGCAGCCAATGTACTGCCTCCGGCGTTGCCAGCAAGTCCACGTAGCGTGCCTTCGGCTTCTCCCTTGTCTGAGCATCGCCCATGTACTCCTGTCCATGTCGCCTCCCTGGCGGATGAGCTCCAGTCGCATCCTGACAGGGATTTCGTGGCAACACTCCTCAATGGCCTGCGTCATGGCTTCCAGATTGGTTGTACTGGTCCGCGCTCTTCCCTCGTTACTCTAACCTTGTTCCTTCTATGACAATCCTGATATTGTGAGTGAGTACTTGGCCAAAGAATGTGCTCGTGGCCATTCCGCTGGTCCGTTCTTCCGGCCTCCCTGTGTTCCATTTCGTTCCGCTGGTATTGGTGTTGTCCCCAAGAAGTCAGGTGGCCACCGGCTTATTGTGCATTTGTCTGCTCCTGCGGGCCACAGCATTAATGACTGTATTCCAGCTGACCGCTTCCGCCTTATGCATATAACCGTGGACGACATCGTTCGGCATGTGATTCGTCAGGGAAAGGTTATCTAATGTTTAAAGTGGATATTCATCACGCGTTTCGCAATATTCCGGTCAATCCTTATGATTGGCACATGCTGGGCATGGTGTGGCATGGTGTAGCAGGGTGTGGCAGGGTGTGGCATGGTGTGGCATGGTGTGGCAGGGTGTGGCATGGTGTGGCATGGTGTGGCAGGGTGTAACATGGTGTGGCAGGGTGTGGCATGGTGTGGCATGGTGTGGCATGGTGTGGCATGGTGTTGCATGGTGTGGCAGGGTGTGGCAGGGTGTGGCATGGTGTGGCAGGGTGTGGCATGGTGTGGCAGGGTGTGGCAGGGTGTGGCATGGTGTGGCAGGGTGTGGCATGGTGTGGCATGGTGTGGCAGGGTGTGGCATGGTGTGGCATGGTGTGGCAGGGTGTGGAAGGGTGTGGCATGGTGTGGCAGGGTGTGGCAGGGTGTGGCAGGGTGTGGCATGGTGTGGCAGGGTGTGGCAGGGTGTGGCATGGTGTGGCATGGTGTGTCATGGTGTGGCAGGGTGTGGCATGGTGTGGCAGGGTGTGGCATGGTGTGGCATGGCGTGGCATGGTGTGGCAGGGTGTGGCATGGTGTGGCATGGTGTGTCAGGGTGTGACATGGTGTGGCAGGGTGTGGCAGGGTGTGGCATGGTGTGGCAGGGTGTGGCAGGGTGTGGCATGGTGTGGCAGGGTGTGGCAGGGTGTGGCATGGTGTGGCATGGTGTGGCATGGTGTGGCAGGGTGTGGAAGGGTGTGGCATGGTGTGGCAGGGTGTGGCAGGGTGTGGCAGGGTGTGGCATGGTGTGGCAGGGTGTGGCAGGGTATGGCATGGTGTGGCATGGTGTGTCATGGTGTGGCAGGGTGTGGCATGGTGTGGCAGGGTGTGGCAGGGTGTGGCATGGTGTGGCATGGCGTGGCATGGTGTGGCAGGGTGTGGCATGGTGTGGCATGGCGTGTCAGGGTGTGGCATGGTGTGGCAGGGTGTGGCAGGGTGTGGCATGGTGTGGCAGGGTGTGGCAGGGTGTGGCATGGTGTGGCAGGGTGTGGCAGGGTGTGGCATGGTATGGCATGGTGTGGCATGGTGTGGCAGGGTGTGGCATGGTATGGCATGGTGTGGCAGGGTCATTATCACGTTGATAAGGTCCTCCCATTTGGGATGCGCTCCTCACCGGCTTTGTTCAATGTTCTCGATGATGCTGTGTGCTGGATCCTGCGGCACAAGTATTCTATTCTTTCCATGGAACATTATCTTGATGACTCAGGGTCAGGGTCCATTTTGTCCATGGCAACAGGGGTTTTCCTTACAGTACGTAGTCCGTGCATGTTGCAGCACACTTTAGGGGTATGCATGGGGGGATCAACACTTTTGCACCAACCTGTATATCCAAAACAAAAGCCAGCAATAAACAAAGTCAACCTTAAGAACTCTATTACTGCTTTGAATGTCCCATGTGACAACAGAACACTTACTCTTTATATATTCTACAGAGTCTGCTTGAAAGTTGGTTATCTGAGGTGGACCTTGAGGAAACGCTCTGCAAAGTTGATCCACAGGTAGGTTGTTGTTTTGGATAAACCTGAACACGACATCAAAGTACATGACAGCTTGAGTTAGTGACACCCTGCTAATTCATTATGAAAACTCTATGAACCCTACATGCAACCTGTATGTACCCTGCAATGGGGAAGTGGCTGACGTTGTAGAAAGACTCACATGCCTGGGGAAACCATTCTTCATCTCCGACAAAACAACTGCAGAGCTGTGACGTCTTTTGACCCAGGCAAGACAGAAAGTGGGCAGGCTTGAACCCATTTGGGAATGATAAGTGAGTAAGACAAAAACATTCGTCGAGGAGATAACAATTTAGCTATCGCATCAAGAAGGACGAGCTGGAGTGGCGTCGGATTATTTTTCACTGCCCAGTAATGGAGCCCACGCTATAACAGTCAGACGAGAACAAGGTAGCACTAGACTGAAAAGGAGTTCTTATACATTCACTGCTGGATAGCGCTAAACAACGGCCTTCCAACTTGGGAGATTCATGGATATTATTGATAATTCTACTTCCTCCGTATACAAAAACTTCGTGACTTTTTTTGAAGGCTGGGCATAGCTCTGGAATTGTTCCGTTTGACTTCGAATAACACTTGTGGCATTGTCTAACCTATTTACAAGCTATATACAAAGAAAAAAGCAAATCAGACGATTGAGATTGAGTTTATTCAGAGTCTTCGTTGCTCCTGTCATTGTCACCTGACGACCCTGACTCCGCATTACCAACAGTCGCTCCTTCCGCTCGCATTTCGTTCAGATTCTTTTCAACTGCAATAATGATCTGACGCGGGACTTTGGCTACGTACTCTTTATTTCCAGAGCTGTGTACGAATCGGTGTCGACTATTCAGTCGTTCCAACCCGCGACCTCCATTATGCCGTGAAACGAAGCGCTCAAGCACATCCACGCGCTTTTCATTTTCTCGGCAGGAGAATCCTCCCAGCATTCTACAACGGCTTCGACGAGGTCCCTGCGATTCCCCTACTCGACAACGGAGACGTCTGACTGGAGTGGAGAGAGGCGAAGAAAGCCAGGTCGTCAACATTCCGATCCGGAGTCTGCGCTGGTTGCACGACGACTGAAATGTTTCATCTTGCCATGCGAGCGGAACCGATTTTTATGTTCTCACGCTGCGTATGGGGCCGCGCACTGCAAGTATACTAGTCCGAGCCTGGCCAGTTTCAGGGCAGCGAGTGCCCCGTGACTCCGTGTTCCAGCCGCGAGCTCCACTTCGTCACGGTGTCAGTTTCGAGCAAGTAAGTGTTAGTTTTTTGTCATTTGACTCGTGAGTTCCTGTCGGCAACGTCCTCACACGCATGGCTTCTGTGGAGAATTATTTGTTTGAGATCAACCAAACCTACCTCAACATGAATGTGGGTTGTCGATGACAGCCTTCTTGCTCAAAAACACCGTTGAAAAAACGTCACGAAGTTTTTGTATACGACTCATTGCTCCCTTCACCGTCCGTCCCATCATCTGCTTCCTCTGCGCTCTCTCTGTTATCCCGCCTGACATGGTCAATTGAACGGGACTCGGCCGTCACCCTGCTCTCACGTCCCTCCTTACGCCCTTGTCCGTTGAGCGCGTAGTTTCTGTTGTAGTTGGCTGTTGATCGTCTTGGTCTTTCAATAATGGGCTTGGATGGTGGATTAGTTGATCGCATAAAACCGACAGACACGCTCCGGCCTATGCTATATTGCTTACCAAAAATACACAAGCCCACATGTCCAGTACGTCCCATCCTTTCTATGACAGCCTCGCCTCAGTATTCTATTTCCAAGTGGCTGTGTATTTACTTACAACCAGTGCAGGACAGCCTGCTTTGTCGGATACCGCCAACCATGCATCGACCAGGCGCCAGGTGCAAACTGATGGTGGTGGTGGTGAGAAGGAGAGCTCTGTGTCAGAACTTTGCAGCTTAGAGAGCGTGGCGTGTGTTTACCGCCATATTGCTAGGTGTGTCTTTACCTCCATATTTATTAGCTTGGCAAATCATTTCATCTAATGTGGCCTGATATGAAAAAAGAAAAAAAGGTGTGTTCCCATGAAAAGGACATCACGATACTAGAAACAATTTGCTGGTTAACTCATGTTTATCTCGCTAAACTCCTGCTTGGGTCAGAGAGTCAGAGGGTTAGAGAGTGGTCGAATAGCAGTCCAAATTGAAATCTTGATGAATGCGTTATCTTTGAAAGACAATTCAAAACAAAAAAGACTTTGTAGACACATTGTGCAGCATAAAAGTCAATCAGTCACCAAGACAAGATTTGTCGAGTTTTACTGGAGTGTCCGAAATAAGAATAATGCACGATGAACATCCTTGTACACGATCAGAAAACCCAAAAAAGAATCAGCTTGAAGACCAATTCACGCCTCCATTGTTGTTTTCTCAGAAATTCCGAGTCCAAGCTTAACAGTGTAGTTAAACCCTCATTCCATGTTAACTTTTTTTACTACGTTACCAGTGTATTGGGGTCCTTTTGCAACCCAGGAATATATTGTTCGGTATTCTTGCAAACTCTCCATTTTATATAACTTTTGTGCTGTGTTACCTTCCCATAGACCAATGCTTTGACCAAACTGCATTTGTTGACAGCTCTGAAGTTTGCCGGGATAATTTGCAAGTTGCAAAATACCAGCCAAAACGATCCTGGGGTCCAAAAGGACCCCAATATACTGGGAGCATAGGAAATAAGGCAACATGGAATGAGGGATAATGCCTGTAGGAGAACATTTTCTTGTAGGGCCTCATACGTCAGTGGATGTCATCCATGTGTTCGGTGACCATGGAGATGAATACCAAAACTAACCTCTACCCCAAATTAATTATGTATCTCGGTTATGCCGTTTTCATTATGCAGAGCTCACGGACTTGTCAGTTTGAGCACTCCGGCAAGGTATGTACGTCACGGTACATGGGACGTCCTCAGCCGACACAACAGTACTATCAAAAAGTATTCTTTCTAGACCAAAGAGTGGTATATTTGATAACATTTAATAACGATAGAAATTTTTACGATACTTCTCCAGACGTTTCGTTGTTCTGAACAACATCGTCAGTGGATAAAGAAGTTTCTTTATCCACTGACGATGTTGTTCAGAACAACGAAACGTCTGGAGAAGTATCGTAAAAATTTCTATCGTTATTAAATGTTATCAAATATACCACTCTTTGGTCTAGAAAGAATACTTTTTGATATTACAATGAGAGTGAATAATCAACGGCTTGTCCACCAACTCTACAACAGTACTATCCGGAGTTCCCCAGGGTTCCATCCTCGGCCCCCTTCTTTTTATCTTATACGTCAATGATCTGCCCGCAGCTGCCCCGGGCACATCACTATTCGCAGACGACACAACGCTCCTACGGGCATCTCCTAACATCACTGGCCTGATGAGTAACCTAGCTAACGGGATTCAAAGAGTAATTTCCTGGATGTCGTCTTGGCGGTTATCGCCCAATCTGTCTAAAACTAAAATCATGCTCTTTCCTTCTCAGCCTGATGTCCCGCCCCTCCTCCATCCCACTTTCCCCCAGCCTATAGACATAGTCTCCAGCCATAAGCATCTTGGCATTTTCATTGGCTCTAATCTTTCATGGGGCCCCCACATCGATTACATATGTAAACGATCAAGTTCATCTTTAGGAATCCTCTCTTCTCATTGTTACCATCTCCCAATCTCTTGTAAACTCCTCTTTTACTCAGCTTACATACGCCCCATTTTTGATTATGAAGATACTGCTTGGGCTGGAATTTCCACAACCCGTGCTGAAAAGCTCGAAATTCAGCGCAAAAAAGTTCTAAAAATCCTCCTCCGGAAACCCCGCATGCTCCCATCTTCCACCCTTTATGCCCTTGCTCTCACTACCCCTTTGTCTAAGAGACATAATTCACATCTTGTCACCCTTATCCATTCTCTCAAACTCAATCTGTGTCCACCTCACCTCCACTGTTTCAACTGGTTTTCTTCCCGTAGCACGAGAAATTCCCTTTCCCTTCCGAAACCCAAGTCCTCCTTTCTACTTCACTCTCCCCTTTTCACTGCGTACTCTGCGTGGCTGGCACTTCCCAAAGAAGCTAAGGACCTTTCTTCCCTCCGCCTTTTTAAGAGCCTTGTCGCGCCTTGACTTTGATTTTGCGTTTCTCATTTTGTTGCAATCACTACTTATCCATGCCGGTTCCTTTTTTCTTCTCCTCCCCTTCTCCCTTCCTTGCCGTGGTTGGCTAACACCCTCTCTCTTTGTATTGGCCGGCGTTCTCACTGTGCTATGAGATGCTGCAATAAATAAATAAAATAAATAAATAAATGTTCGGGCCTGGTTTAAGTAGGGCTTTAAATAGAGCTTTGCCAAATATATTTTTCATTGCTATCAGGTTCGGCCTCATTTTAGCTGTTCTGCTCTGATAAATCCACAAAGGACGAAACAGGTCTGGAACAGGTCTGTCCGCAGATTGAGTATTTCGCTCCTGCTCTTGTAGCAGTTGAGCACTCTGGCAAGGTACGTTCTGGCCTGGATTAAATAGGGCCTTGAAAAAAATATTTTTCATTGCCATCAGTTTTGGCCTCATTTCCTCTGTGCAGCGCTGATGAGTCCACAAAGGACGAAACAGGTCTTTCCGCAGATTGGTTGGTTGGTTGGTTGATTGGTTGTGTTTATTTGAATTCGCAAACCGAACGGACTGAACATGTCCAATGACAAGGAAGCGAATGAAGTCCAAATAACCCAGGAATGGGGACAGAGATGAAAAGAGAATATGGGAACAGAAGGCTCTCAGCAAAGGAAGAAGAGAAAGGAAGGAAAGAAAAAGAATAATGGAGAAGAAGAAGAAAAATCGTGGTCACGGCGAGAAGAAAGCTTTTAGCAAAAAGGCAAAGGAAAGGATGAAGTAGAAAATGGGGAGACACATCGTGGTCACGGCCAAAGCCGGGGTAGTGGCAGGACACAGTAGACATAACAACACCAGGAACAAGCACGCATGAAGCATGGGCCATGCCGGCCCAGAAGCGGGAGACCCCGAC